TTTTGTTGCAGTGGTAAATGGGAGTGTTTCCTTAATTTCTCTTTTAGATTTTTCATTATTAGTGTATGGGAATGCAAGAGATTTCTGTGCATTAATTTTGTATCCTGCTACTTTACCAAATTCATTGATTAGCTCTAGTAGTTTTCTGGTGGCATCTTTAGGATTCTCTATGTATAGTATCATGTTACCTGCAAACAGTGACAGTTTTACTTCTTCTTTTCCAATTCGGATTCCTTTTATTTCTTTTTCTTCTCTGATTGCTGTGGCTAAAACTTCCAAAACTATGTTGAATAATAGTGGTGAGAGGGGCAACCTTGTCTTGTTCCTGATCTTAGAGGACATGGTTTCAGTTTTTCACCATTGAGGACGATGTTGGCTGGTGGTTTGTCATATATGGCCTTTATTGTGTTGAGGTAAATTCCCTCTATGGGTACTTTCTGTAGCGTTTTTATCATAAATGGGTGTTGAATTTTGTGTAATGCTTTTTTTGCATCTATTGAGATGATCATATGGTTTTTATTTTTCAATTTGTTAATATGGTATATCACATTGATTGATTTCCATATATTGAAGAATCCTTGCATTCCTGTGATAAACCCTACTTGATCATGGTGTATGATCCTTTTAATGTGCTGTTGGATTCTGTTTTTTAGTATTTTGTTGAGTTGTTTTGCGTCTATGTTCATCAGTGATACTGGCCTGTAGTTTTCTTTCTTTGTGACATCTTTGTCTGGTTTTGTATCAGGGTGATGGTGGTTTTGTCGAATCAGTTTGCGATTGCTCCTCTCTCTGCTATACTTTGGAAGAGTTTGAGAAGAATAGGTAGTCACTCTTCTCTAAATGTTTGATAGAATTCGGCTGTGAAGCCATCCAATCCTGGGCTTTTGTTTTTTGGAGGATTTTTAATCACAGTTTCATTTTCAGTGCTTGTAATTTGGTCTGTTTATATTTTCTATTTCTTCCTGGTTCAGTCCCTGAAGGTGGTGCTTTTCTAAGAATTTGTCCATTTCTTCCAGGTTGTCCATTTTATTGGCGTAGAGTTGCTTGTAGTAATCTCTCATGATCCTTTGAATTTCTGCAGTGTCTGTTGTTACTTCTGCTTTTCCATTACTAATTCTGTTGATTCGGGTCTTCTCCCTTTTTTTCTTGATGAGTCTGGCTAATGGTTTATCAATTTTGTTTATCTTTTCAAAGAACCAGCTCTTAGTTTTACTGATCTTTGCTATTGTTTCCTTCATTTCTTTTTCATTTATTTCTGATCTGATCTTTATGATTTCTTCTGCTTACTTTGGGTTTTTTTTGTTCTTCTTTCTCTAATTGCTTTTTGTGTGAGGTTTGGTTGTTTATTTGAGATGGTTCTTGTTTCTTGAGGTAGGATTGCACTGATATAATCTTCCCTCTTAGAACTACTTTTGCTGCATCCCACAGGTTTGGGGTCATCGTGTTTTCATTGTCATTTGCTTCTAGGTATTTTTTGATTTCCTCTTTGAATTCTTCAGTGATCTCTTGGCTATTCAGTAGTGTATTGTTTAGCCTCCATGTGTTTGCATTTTTTACGGATTGTTTCCTGTAATTGATGTCTAGTCTCATAGCAATGTGGTCGGAAAAAACACTCTATATGATTTCAATTTTCTTAAATTCCCCAAGGCTTGATTTGTGACCCAAGACATGATCTACCCTGGAGAATGTTCTATGAGCACTTGAGAAGAAAGTGCATTTTGTTGTTTTTGGATGGAATGTCCTATAAATGTCGATTAAGTCCATCTTGTTTAATGTATCATTTAAAGTTTGTGTTTCCTGATTTATTTGCAATTTGGATGACCTGTCCACTGGTGAAACTGGGGTGTTAAAAGTCCCCTACTATGACTGTGTTAGTGTCGATTTCCCCTTTTATGGCTGTTAGCATTTGCCTTATGTATTGAGGTGCTCCTATGTTGGGTGCATATATATTTACCATTGTTATATCTTCTTCTTGGATTAATCCCTTGATCATTATGTAGTGTCCTTCTTTGTTTCTTGTAATAGTCTTTATTTTAAAGTCTATTTTGTCTGATATGAGAATTGCTACTCCAGCTTTCTCTTGATTTCCATTTGTATGGAATATCTTTTTCCATCCCCTCACTTTCAGTCTGTATGTGTCCCTAGGTCTGAAGTGGGACTCTCGTAGACAGCATATATACAGGACTTATTTTTGTATCCATTCAGCCAGTCTTTGTCCTTATGTTGGAGCATTTGATCCATTTACATTTAAGGTAGTTATCGATATGTATGTTCCTGTTACCATTTTCTTAATTGTTTTGGGTTTGTTATTGTAGGTCTTTTCCTTCTCTTGTGTTTCCTGCCTAGAGAAGTTCCTTTAGCATTTGTTGTAAAGCTGGTTTGGTGGTGCTGAACTGTCTTAGCTTTTGCTTGTCTGTAAAGGTTTTAATTTCTCCATCAAATCTGAATGAGATCCTTGCTGGGTAGAGTAATCTTGGTTGTAGGTTTTTCCCTTTCATCACTTTAAATATGCCCTGCCACTCCCTTCTGGCTTGCAGAGTTTCGGGCAAAAGATCAGCTGTTAAACTTTTGGGGATTCCCTTGTATGTTATTTGTTGTTTTTCCCTTGCTGCTTTTAATATATTTTCTTTGTGTTTAATTTTTGGTAGTTTAATTAATATGTGTCTTGGTGGGTTTCTCCTTGGATTTCTCCTGTATGGGACTCTCTGTACTTCCTGGACTTGATTGACTATTTCCTTTCCCATATTAGTAAGTTTTCAACTATAATCTCTTCAAATATTTTCTCAGTCCCTTTCTTTTTCTCTTCCTCTTCTGGGACCCATGTAATTCGAATGTTGGTGCATTTAATGTTGTCCCAGAGGTCTCTGAGACTGTCCTCAATTCTGTTCATTCTTTTTTCTGTATTCTGCTCTGTGGTATTTATTTCCAGTATTTTATCTTCCAGGTCACTTATCCGTTCTTCTGCCTCAGTTATTCTGCTATTGATTCCTTCTAGAGAATTTTTAATTTCATTTATTGTATTGTTCATCATTGTTTGTTTGCTCTTTAGTTCTTCTAGGTCCTTGTTAAACGTTTCTTGTATATTCTCCATTCTATTTCCAAGATTTTGGATCATCTTTACTATCATTATTCTGAATTCTTTTTCAGGTAGACTGCCTATTCCCTCGTCATTTGTTCGGTTTGGTGGGTTTTTACCTTGCTCCTTCATCTACTGTGTGTTTCTGTGTCTTCTCACTTTGCTTAACTTACTGTGTTTAGGGGTCTCCTTTTTACAAGCTGCAGGTTCATAGTTCCCGTTGTTTTGGTGTCTGCCCCCAGTGGCTAAGTTTGGTTCATTGGGTTGTGTAGGCTTCCTGGTGGAGGGGCCTGGTGCCTGTGTTCTTTTGGATGAGGCTGGATTTTGTCTTTCTGGTGGGCAGGTCTGTGTCCGGTGGTGTGTTTTGGGGTGTCTGTGACCTTAGTATGATTTTAGGCAGCCTCTCTGCTGATGGGTGGGGTTGTGTTCCTGTCTTGCTAGTTGTTTGGCATAGGGTGTCCAGCACTGTAGCTTGCTGGTTGTTGAGTGAAGCTGGTCTTAGCGTTGAGATGGAGATCTCCGGAAGAGCTTTCCCTGTTTGATATTATGTGGGGCCGGGTGGTCTCTGGTGGACCAGTGTCCTGAACTTGGCTTTTCCACCTCAGAGGAACAGGCCTGACACCCGGCCAGAGCATGAAGACCCTGTCAGCCACATGGTTCTCTTTGGGCTTAAGGCATGTGTTTTTATCATTTCCCAGAGTCTCTCTGTGAGATTAAGTTTCAGTAGCTTGCTATGGTAGATTTTTTGTCTACTTCCATTTTCTATATTACCTCACAACTTCTTTGCCAGTTTTACTCTAATCCTTGTCTCAGAGGGTGTTTCTTGGGAAAGCCAAAATAAGATGGACATGCATGTGAATCAAAATGAGATTCCAAATATGACAAGGATAAAATAAACTATTATGGCAGAAAGAACATTATTCTGAAAAAAGCTTCGTCATGGATACTCCTAAAGTGGGCAGTAGATGATGTATAAAAAACCTCTGGTGACCCCGATCAGGCAATGTCTCTGAGTCCTATGTCCATGATAGCTTCTTTTTTTTTATTATTTTTATTTCTTTTTTATTTTTTTGCGGTACGCGGGCCTCTCACTGTTGTGGCCTCTCCCGTTGCGGAGCACAGGCTCCGGACGCGCAGGCTCCACGGCCATGGCTCACGGGCCCAGCCGCTCCGCGGCATGTGGGATCCTCCCAGACCGGGGCACGAACCGGTGTCCCCTGCATCGGCAGGCGGACTCTCAACCACTGCGCCACTAGGGAAGCCCCATGATAGCTTCTTTTCGAATAACATTTGTCATGCGTGGTCCCTGTGGAGATGAGCAGCCTTTCCTTTGTTTTCTCCTAACATGGGGCATTAAGCCCATTGCTTTTCATGACGTTTTGCAATCCTTCAAAGATTGTTTCAAACCTCAGCTTTAATTCGACCATGTTGGTAAGAACAGAACAACAATAAAAAGTAGCTTTCTTTTGCTGTGTAATCCAGGTAGATGAAAAAAGTATCCAGGAATCAAAACCACAGCACACAAAGTCGGACACGCATTCCAGCGTTGGAGAAGAAAGCTGCCACCCAGGCAAAAGCTCTTCTGAAATGGCCCAGTTCTGCTCAGGGGCGGCGGGAACAGTTCCTCTTCCTATCGGCGTGGCGGCCTCTGGCACGGCATGCGCGTGGGCGTGGGCACAGGGGCCGCCTGCCTCCTCATGGCCCAGTGGGCTAGGCCACACCCACTCCTGGGCCTGGGGGCTGGCAGGAACCTCAGGCCACGGAGCTGGGTACCAGGAAGGACGCCCTCGGGTTGGGGCAGCTGCGCCTGGCCCTTGGGGGCAGTAGCCACGACCTCACAGGTCTTGTGGGCTCCAGGGCCAGTGAAGTGCATCCTCTAAAACCCTCGGCTTAATGGGCCTTTTACAGGAAGGTTTGGATCAAAATGATCCGCACCAGTGAGTCTGGCTGGCTGGAGGGCCACAGTGCCTCCAGGGGGCCACTTTGCCCCCCTGCCACTGCACCCTGCTGGAGAGGCCAACCTGGGGGTGCCGTCAGGGCTCAGAAGGTACTGGAGCGGCCCTCCGGCAGCGCCTTCTGTGAGGACTGGCGTTTAGCAACGGGCAGCACCTCCACTGATGTGCTGAAGACGCAGCTGTGGGCAGAAGCAAAGCCCCCCTTATCTATCTTGAAGTAATAGTTTGTTCCTTTTTTATTCAGACTTTTCAAAGGATGACAATTACTTAACCTACAGACATAGTGGAGTGGTGCCTTACTGTTGTGACTGCAGTGTCACTTTTATTCTGAAGAAGTCCTTTAGCTGATAACAATAATTTATTATTGATTAAATGACCTCAGTATGCAAAGTTATATGTTTGTTTTTAGTGAACTAATCTACATTCATTCATTTTAAAACTATAGACAGTCCTTGCGGAGAGTCGCCGCGGTTTCTTGCTTCAACAGTGCTTGGACGGAACCCGGTGCTCGTCCCCCGCTCCGGCCGGGCCGCTCAGAGCCAGCCCTCGCCACCACCTCACGGCGCCCTCCGACCGCCCCAAGGTCCCCGCCGCCGTTACAGCGCCGCGCAGCCACCGCCATCGTTTCACCTCAGCCGCCCGCCATGACGACCGCGTCTCCCTCGCAGGTGCGCCAGAACTACCACCAGGACTCGGAGGCCGCCATCAACCGCCAGATCAACCTGGAGCTCCTACGTCTACCTGTCCATGTCGTACTATTTTGACCGCGATGATGTGGCTTTGAAGAACTTTGCCAAATACTTTCTTCACCAATCTTGTGAGGAGAGGGAACATGCTGAGAAACTGATGAAGCTGCAGAACCAACGGGGTGGCCGAATCTTCCTTCAGGATATCAAGAAACCAGACCGTGATGACTGGGAGAATGGGCTGAATGCAATGGAATGTGCGCTACACTTGGAAAAAAGTGTGAATCAGTCACTACTGGAACTGCACAAACTGGCCACTGAGAAAAATGACCCCCATTTGTGTGACTTCATTGAGACTCATTATCTGAATGAGCAGGTGAAATCCATTAAAGAATTGGGTGACCACGTAACCAACTTGCGCACGATGGGGGCCCCCGAATCTGGCATGGCACAGTATCTCTTTGACAAGCACACCCTGGGAAATAGTGATAATGAGAGCTAAGCCTTAGGCTGGCTTTCCGTAGCCACAGGGGTGACTTCCCTGGTCACCAAGGCAGTGCATGCATGTTTGGGTTACCTTACCTTTTCTGTAAGTTGTACCAAAATATCTACAAGTACTTTCCTTAGTACCATTCCTTCAAATAAAGTAATTTGGTACCCCCCCACAAAAAAACCCACAACTCTATATGATAGGAACTGGGTATCATAGAAGTTTGTATGCATCATTAAAACTTGTGGGATTCAGGAAGGCTCTCACAGGTTAGGACTGGACATTCTGACTGTGCTGTGTGCAGTACGCCTGGGCTGATATGGCACACCCAGACTGAAACGGGGATATTCCTAACTCCCTTTGAAGAAAAATGTTTTGAATTTCTCACACCAGTTTTGAGTACACCTACATATATCAACTTAAATGTTCTTAACAAACCTGCAAGATACAGACAGCTAATCCATTTCTAAAGAGGCAAAAGTATGAAGCAGCTGGAATGAAGGAGCTAATGCATCACACATTTCTCCCTCTTGCCTGATTTCCGCATCAACTGAGAATGACAAATGTTCAAACAGGTCAGTGAGATCCAAGCAGCACCTTTATTACTAATTATGGCTAATCTGAACATATGGCTAAAGGATTGTTATCCATATGGATTTACTAATAGTACATCCCTGAAAAAGACATATCTACCCTCAGAAAAACATAGTCCTTTCCTGCTAAGGGTGGAGCTTTTACTGTTAGGCTTAGCAAAAGATCTAGAAGCAGGTCCAAGCTCTGACTCCCTGAGTTCCCAAAGAGAAAGCAGCAGGAAATTGTCTAAGCTACACCCATCAGATCATTCACATCTTCTCCCTTGGAGAGGTACAGGTAAGGAGGCCTAAAGCAACAAAGAGAGTTAGTTTCTACATGGAAGCATAAAGCCAGAGGAAAGTGGGTCCCACATTCCTAATTTCTCCAGCTTTATATTTGTTTTACTTCTTAACTCTATGGCTAACCAAAAGTTTGATCATCACCATGTGGGGAGGAAATCAGCAGCCTATTTGTGCAGTCCTGTATCTATTTCATCAGACTGTTCTTATAGTCCCAAGCACTGCTTCTGTATGTATACTCTTGGGCCCACTATTAAATAAGTTTGATTTTGCTGCTGGATGGCTTGGAAATAGGTCAAAAGAGCACTTTTATTAAATTAACTACAAGGCCACTCTACCCTCGGCTGAATTTCTATTCCCTAATCTATTTCTCATCTCAAATTAAGTCTATCTATGCTGTTCAACACTTTTTGAGAAGTCCAGTTATTTACTATTTTACCACATATGAGCTGGGAGCCCATGGCAGGCACTGTTACAGGACAAGGTATCAAAGAGTAAATAAAACACCATTCCTGCCTTCATGAAATGTGAATGTTGTAGGAGAGAAATAACATACACCTATAAAGATATAAATGTATAATATGTTAGGCTATGATTAGTGGAACAAAAAGAGGGAAGCAGGAGAGAGGGAGAAGGTGGGAAAGTTACTTAATAAAGTATTCAAGGAAGATTTCTTTGTTGAAGTGACATTTGAACAGAGACTTGAAGGAAGAAAGAGAAAGTACCTTGTGTTTGCCTGGGAAGAGTTCATTCAAGGCATAGGAAACAGAAAGTACAAAGGACCAGAGCGAACGGCTGGAGGGGAGTGACAAGAAGTAGCTGAGACTGAAGAGATGGAGAGAAGGCATATCACACAGAGCCGTGTAGACCACAGGGAGGTCTCTGGCTGTTACTTAGAGTGAAGCTAGAATGTGAAGCTATTGGAAAGTTCGAGCATAGAAAAGTCACAGTGAGACTTACATTTTAAGTGAACCATACTGAATTTGGTGTGGAAGATAGAATGTGATGAGGCAAGTATAGGAATACTCAAAGGTATGTAAGGGATTTGGTGGCTTGGTAGTCATAGTAAGGGTGTTGAAAAGTGGTAAAATTTCTGGATATATCTGAAGATAAGTGAACAGAATATCCTAATATTCTGCTGTGGAGGATGAAAGAAAAAGAAGAATTAAAGTTCTGGCCTAAGCAATGAAGAAAATGGAGCTTCCATTTTCTACAACAGGGCACACTGCAAGAAGAGCAGGTTGGATGACAGAGCTGGTGGGGTGAAAATAAGAAACTTATTTTCACAGATGTAGTACTTGATATACCTATTAGATAACCAAGTAAATATTCTGAGTAGATAATAAGAGTTTAGCAGAGAAATAATGGGATTCACCAAAGAGATGGCATTAAAAGGTGTGAGCCCACATGAGAACATATAAGCAATGAATGAAGACACAAAATAGCAGGACCAATCAAAGACCCCTGGGACACTTTATCATTACGAGGGTACATTGAAAAGGATAATTCAGCCATGGAGCAGAAATACGTCAATCCACATCTGGCTCATATCTCATGCTGCCCAGCTCAGTGAACTGGCTGAGGTTTGAAGGAGCTAACAAATAATACTGATAGACAGAGGAGTCAGACATATTGAAATAAAAGTATCTGAGAGAGTTGGGGAATGCTGCTCAAGTATGTACAAATGATGAACTGCCTAATATTGACCCATAGTTAGCACTGAGAATCCACAGGCTTTGAAAGAAAAGTTTTCACCACTAAACTTACCATGACTTTGAGAATGGGCCAGAGCACATACTCTCTGAAAGCAAACAGAACCCAAAGAAGAAAAGGTAGAAGCAGATGGATTTTCCCCAAACTCACAAATTAGACAATTTGTTGTCATTCCCTAATGCAGTGCTTCCAAATCACTGGGGAAGGGGGGTGACTTTGTGCTTCAGAAGACATTCAACAATGTTTGGGAACATTTTTGGTTGTCACAGCTGGGTGGAGCTGCTTCTGGCATCTGGCAGGGAGAGGCTAGGGCTGCTGCTAAGCCTCCAATAAAGCACAGGACATCCCCCTATCCCGCCACAACAGAAAATTATCTGGCTCAAATGTCAATAGTGCTGTGGCTGAGAAACTGCCCTAATGCAAATGTTTAGGGAGAATCACATAGAGTTATTTTTCATAGTTATATTTTTAACTTAAAGAAATATATTATGTTGAGATTTCAGTTTGTTTCTTTTTTTCCCCCTCAGCATTGCTTTTTTTTATTGTGGTAAAATATACATAATATAAAATTTACCCTTTTAACCACTTTTAAGTATACAATTCAGTGGCATTGAGTACATTCACATTGCTATTGTATGATTCCACTTAGATGAGGTATCCATAGTAGCCAAATTCAGAGTCAGCACTGTTTTGAATATATATTTATTTCAGGAAATACTACGGGAGTCTTTTCACATAGCAAGGATGTAATAAAAAGAGTTAGCTGCAACACTTTTGGAGAGCTAAAAACACACAGAGAGACAAACAGAGGTAACCTATATATAAGAGCAATTCATGTATAAGGTAACCCACATGTAAGAAGCTATGAAACTTAGGGCTGGAGCAACAAAAGGGGAAAGAAAACTAGGAGCTTAGAGGAGAGGCTTTCATGGAGCTGGTGCTTAGACCTCCTGGGGGTGGGGGGTGCCACATAGCCACTGCTGACAAATCTGGGAGGGCTCAGGTACTGAGGATGCTGTAAAAAGCTGGAGGCTGACGCAACTGGGGCTGTTGGAGTAACTCTGACAAATATAGGAAAATCAAGAAAACAGGATCAGGGAAAACTTTCCATCCTCCTTTGATCCCTGCCTAATTATTTCTTCTAGTGCCTCCTTTTGGCAGAATCTAAGAAAGAAAGATACCTTTCAAGGAAAAGCAGTTTGTAGCATCCCAGCTCTAGCATCACAGAGAAAACTGTAGAATGAATGTAGAGTTGAAGGATGAGTTATATAACAGCACAATAATTGTAAACCATTGCTGTTAACTGGCACATAATATACAACCCGATGTGCATCCACCATATTTCACCTTTGAATTTAACTATCCACTCTCTCAGATTGCCCCCAACTACCTGCCACCACAAACTATGTTGAGCATTTTACTCTAAGATAGAGCTAGCCACTAGATCATAGGGGTTATGAATATTTATTTTATTCAGTAGTTCCAGGTTAATCTTTTGATTGTTTGAACTTCTCTAAAATCACACCACCCATCGGTAAAGTTGAATCTTTATATTGGTAGTTTTTAATAGAAGTATCTTGATGGTTTTATTTGATTTCTCAGCAGAACCTCTGAAAAAATTGGAACAATTATTTGACTCTACTGAGACCTAAAATCAACTGATGTTACAACTTTTCTGTGTTCAAACTCTCTCCTCCAAATTTCTCACTTGCATCTTTACCTAGAAAATATTCTACGTTCACCATCATGGCCACCTCACTGGATGCACTTACCTTGCTATCCTTGCATTATATTTGTCTATGAGATTACACCCAACACTGTCTACTGCATTTCTGCACCCAGACAATTAACGCAGTGGAGAAAACACACAACCATGTTTCCTAGTCCCGTTTTAAATGTTGATCACTAACTCAAGTGGACTGGCTAACAAAAGACATGTAGAGAAAACTCACAGAACAAAATAAATTAAAAATTGCTAATAAGATACTAAATTGTACAATCTATTCACAATTAAAGATAAGAAAGTTAAAATTAAAAGATACCATTGTTATCAAATTGGCAAAAGAAGATAATGTTTGATGACACCTAGTGTGGGAAACAAACATTCTCTTATATTTTGATTCATTCATTTGATAACACATATTTACTGAGTTTCCTTCATATGCCAGGCACATTTCTAGGCAATGAGAAAACAGCAGGAACCAAGATTGGAGGTGTCTCTGACTCAAGAAGTTAACACTTTAGAAAGGAGAAGGGAAAGAAACACATAACAACATGTCAGATATTGATAAAAAGAAATAAATCTGAGTCAAAGGCTAGGTAGTGGTTAACAGAACAATGTTTTCTCGTAAGGTGGTCAGGGCATACCTCTACTGAAACAGAAGCCTAAATGAAATGGTGGAGAAAGTTATATATGAATATGGGGCAGAGTATCCCAAGCAATTAAGACAGCAAGTACAAATGTCCGGAGGTAGGGGTATTTTTTGCCTATTGACAATAGTGTGGTTATAGTAAAATGGATAATAGGAAGGACACTATTTATGAGATCAG